ATTATGCTATATGTCCAAAAATTGTAAAAAAGGGTAAGTGAGCACAACTATAAAAACAAATAGACAATCGATGGTCCAAATGCGTCTATGGTTTCATCAACGTGATGACGGAGAAACTGCAGAGTTTGATGTTGTTAACTGTGAACATCAGCCAGGAGTTCGCGGTGAAGTAATTTTCTCCTCATCCTTAAAATCATAAGTCGGTCATACCGTCTTTACAACTAAATTGTGGAACAAATCGATGAACAAAGTTAAGGAAGAATCATTTATCTTAATATCACATCAATCGGACCATCATCAACAAATCACACATACAGTGTTCACTTACTCATGTTTTTATATTTGAAAAAAAAAAATTTTTTTTTCGAATAAATTGTATAGATGTAAGTTCAAAAAGGAGAGGGGTAATGAAACGATTGTTACATATTATTAATGTCTACTCATGTATTATGGATATTGCTGAGTAGACATCACGTTAATTTACATGTTATTACATTAAGTCGCGGTAGTTCTGCCACAACGTTCGTCCGAGGTAGCTGAACTCTATAGTCTGTAAGTCTAATTTATATATGTATATTAAATAATAACTAAAACTAAATCAATCTACATTTATTTGTAATATCAAGATCTATCCTTTTATGCTCCCGAGCTACGGTATAATATATTCATAAGGACTAGAAAACCTTCTCTGAATATCATATATTTAACTGGTCATCCCCGACCACGTTACAATATTAAAAAAAAAAAAAAAAAAAACTCGACGGGATAATTTTAGGGTTCCGTCATCAGATTTTAACCGGAGATAATAAAACGTCTTTTCGAGATAACATACACACCCTTTAAAAAAGGTACCCAGAATGCATTAAATAATATAAAGTAAAATAAAGAATAACAAACATGTGTTTATGAATAATATAACTAATAATAATACAAACACTACTGCACGTGGTCATAAAGGAACAACTGTTAAAAGAATAAGTTTCTAACAGCTATTATATTCTTTGAATATAGGAAACACCACAGACGGTCTCGATTGCAAGTCATATAAAAATAATAATGAAGTTTCCAGTTTATGATATATGAGATGTTAAACACAATATAAGATAAAAGCGATTCTAAGAAAATTTGTTTAATAATAGAGTTGAAGGTTATATTTTATTCTGTGTTGTATGGATAATGCCTTACGTCCGTACAAAAGTAGAAACCTGTTCGCAGGGTTGGCGAGAGGGTGGGATAGGTAGGGCAAAGCCCAGGGGCCCGTAAGTCCGAGAGGGCTCATCAGCCTTTTATATAATATTTTTATTTTAATAAAATATTTACAAGTAGTATGTATATCTTGGTCAAATAAGTGCAAGTAAAGGGGACCTGGAACCTAACCGATCCTGCCTGGACGATACATTTACGAATTTTAATATATGGCAGTTTATTATTTACATAATAAATTACTATTGTCACCAACCAATTTGATTATACGTGTACACAGAAAAATACGATTCCAAAAAAAAGATTATAAATAATAAGAATTAGAATCCGAATATATATTTTTTTTCTGTGAAGAAATTTTATTCTAAAAAATTCCCAATAATTCAAATGAAAAAAAAATGATAAAACTATATTCGGCGAACTATATGATCATAATAAAAATAATAATATAAAATATAATATAATATAATAATAATATAATATAAATATAAGATAAGGAATAAACTGGAGTGATTACTTCCTATTATGGCTACACGGAAAAAACGAGCCATCTGAATAGTTTATTACCCCCACTTCGTAAAGGCAAGAAAATTATTACAACCATTGAAAACAACATTTGTTTTAAGCTTTTATTATTATAATTAAAACTGAATACAAAATAATTTTTATACTTTAAATTAGTATTAATATTTAAAAAATAATAATATAATAATAATTATCAAATAATTGAATAATTAGGTACCAACCAATTTTTAGATATTATTAAATAAATTTACTTTTGTAAGTTTTTGTCTTAAAGAAGGAACGGTTTTTAAAAACATTCAGGATATTAAACTGTTTTTCATAATGTCGCAATCTAATATTAATAAAATGTTCACAAATTAAAGTGAACTATGAATACTCATGATTAAGAGCACCAAAATCTATGTTAGTGAATGAGTATTGGCAAAAAAAATGTTTGTACTTATATTTAAAATACTTTCCTGGTACTTTCAATAATTAAAAATTTTATATTTTATGAAGATTTTTTTCTTTAATAACTATTAGCTGAAATAATTTTTCAAGATATCGCATTATGAATGAAACTGCTTTAAATATAATTATTAATTTACCTCTACTAACATAAGTTGTAAAAGTTAAATTGTTGCTGTATTCGTGGTCTAACCGATTTTCTACAAGTAATTTACAATACAATTGTTGCGGACATACATGAATGTAGGTCCTTACGACTCATACGACATGGACGGGACCATGTAGATCATAAATGGTAGATATCAAGAAAATGATTATTATTAACACAATATTCGCATTCGTAAAAATAGAAATGAATTTTAATTAAAAGTCAGAAGGTAAACCAGTACATATATTATATGTGAATCGCATGGTTATATGTAGAATTTTAATTGGAAAAAGTCGTGACAAATATAGAATAAGTGCGAATAAGGTCATCTAGGTAATAATTAGCGGGCTAGAGACAAATTAATTAATATAGTTGAAAACAACTATCGCCCAGCGCGGCACGTTTGATCTTCGTCAAACCTAAGTATATAAGGGGGTTGGGAACAGACCAATATTCAGATGTGGTTTACATGTACAGTCGCAAGCACCTTCACGCCACATTATTTCTTAAATTAATGTTTTGTACTTAGAAAAATTATTAAATAAACAGTTTAAATTACAATTAAGTATTTTTATTGAAGTATTATCCTTAAAAACTTAACCATCAAATACGATTGAGCGACGGCACGCAACACAATTTTGACATACAATTTTTTTCATTATACTTCTTACAATATAACCACCGATATAATCTAAAATGTCTTTGACATAATAACTTAAATTATTATTATTAAGATGGGTCAGATATTGCTCAAGTCCATGATCCCCAGGAATTTCTTCTGTATTACTAAAATTACGTTTTTCTGATCGGATATCTATTATATGACTTCCAGGTGAATCTAAGTTGGAACAATTTCCACTTTCAACAGTAATATTTTTAGTAAATAATAATATTCTTAAGGTGTTTTTAAATTGCACTGAATTCGGGTCGTTGTTTGAGCCTTCTCTATCTCTTATACAACCAAAAAAAAGTTATATATAGTAGTAACCTACTGAGTAACATACTTGAGATGGTGTTGCCTTAATGTAAAATATTAATGTCTTTCGGCTTTAAAATGATTATTCTCGAAAAAAAAATAAAAATAGCGCAAGCATTTATTTTACCTGTGTGGGGAACTCGGTTACGTTGATAAATAATCGACGTTGATACCATTGCGCAACGCTTTTAAACATTTTTGTTGATGCATAATGAGTATATAAGGGTTTTAGTAAAAGTTATAAACTTAAATTAAATATAACTTCAAAACTAAGTTCTTGCGCCAAATTCTAATTTCACCATCATTTTTTCCAAAATATGACTGCCCCCCCAAAAAAATTACCAAAATGTTGGGTGCCTCATAATCTAGAATTGTTCCAAAAAACAAAAAAAAAATATTTAATTACCGGTTTTGAAATACACTTTTGTAATAAGCGTCGTTTAACAGGTGGTGATCTATATAAATGTATTGAGAAACCTTTAAACTTTGATGGAACTGCAGTAGGGTTTAATTATTTATTAGTTGCTCATGAACAAATTTGATAAAATTAGGAAAGATAAGTCGATAAAATGTTCACACACAGAACACTACTTTTTGTTGGAACAAAATTCTTTCTCCTTAATTCTTTCAACCATCGTTTTAAGATTTCAGGATTATTTATAGGAAATCTAAAATGATTAAGTATTAAAATAGTTAATAATCTCTAGATTCTACTCTTTTTATAACTGAGTATGCATAGTGTCAAACCTATAAAAATTTAGTGTACGAGTACAGCCTTTTGAGCAGAACATGAATTCACCATTTTACTCACTAACTTTAACGAAAAAATATTAGAAGTGAATAATATATTATACTAATAGTTTATGGATTGCCGAGAATTAATTAGGTACTAGATAAAATAATTATTTAATTAATTAATTAATTATTTTAAAACAATATATCATATTTTGTTTACAATGGTCTACGACAGCATTTCTTACACTTTTTTATCCGTGGAACCCCTACTTTTTTTTAACTTTTTAGCTTTTTTTAGATTATTTGTAAATAAATTATAAACATACAATAATATTGTGTTAAAGATATTTAATTCAAAAAATATATTAAAATAAAAATTAAAATTAAAATTTTTAACTAAAGATTAGTAATGGTGAAAAACTGTTTGCATTATAGAAAAAAATATTTGTATATTAAATAACAATGTATAAGCCATATAGAATAGTCTACATTTATATTTAGTCTAATTAATATAATGATTATTAAAGTATTATAATATATATGTATACAATTATTATTATTTTAAGAGAAATTTTCTTAAATTTTTTTAAAAAATGACTCAAGCTTCGCGGAACCCCAGGGTTCCGCAGAACACAGTTTAAGAAACGCTGGTCTACAGATTATCGTACGTGTAAAATAATGTTTTGTCCTTAAGGAGTGGGAGTAATTCTTATCATGGTGGCTCGTATTTTATTTACGAGTGATCACTCCAGTTTATTCTTTATCTCGATGTATAAACCACAGAATAGATTAAATTTAGAATAGATTTAATCTATTCTGTGTATAAACCTTACACCAGTTTACTTTATAAAACTATATTGATTTACAATTATTTTATAGATAAATTGTGATTAATCTTAGTCTAGAGTAAATATTACTTACCTTGTCCTCTGTATTGCCTAAACGTTAGACATGTTAAAACACAACGAACTAAAGTTTGTGATACCTACAAAATAGGTCCTGAGTATTACATTCAACTTATTTTATAGACTTTTTTTTAATAAATCACTTAAACATTTTTATTTATTTTCTAATATTTCGATTGAAGTACTTCTTCAGGTAAGTGACTAAATAAATTAAAGGGAACGGAGATTTTTCAGTTTTCCATTTTTTTTCAAATAGTTTAGTAATGTTATAACATCTGTGGTAAAATAATCGAGTAATATACAGAAAACATTTTGGTTTTGTCCACACTAATGTTTAACTTGAATAAATAAAAATCGATTTTTATTAATATCGAATATTGATTATATTAAACCCATAATAATCGTATGGTAAACGGTTTCAATCTTTTTTTTATTTAATTCAAGGTAATAAATAACCTAAAGTAATAATAAACTAACCTAAAGGTATGCTATAGGCTATTGAAGTAGGGTCAGTATCAATAATATGTACACGTTATGTTTATATTTTTATACAAGTATCTTTAGTTTCCAATCGTTTTTCTTTTACGTACCGTTAAAAACAGCGTTATAGAAGAAATACATTGCGATGATATATTTGTTCAACAACACTATGTTTAAAATCATTACTAATTCATCAACGTTAAACATCGAACGTTACCTGAAATACTTATTGCACTGCAAATGGATTTCATTTTTTATGACCACCGGAGGACGAGAACTGGACGAGATAAGCTTCTGACAGGCGTTCGACAGCAGCTTGTGTGGTCTGTTTAAACCACACGTTTGGTGGCACAGTCGTCCGAAACCATAGCGAAACATTTTTTACGGACTTTAAGTCAACAATCGACGAGAGAATTTCATCCCTGAAGAAGCAACTATGAAATAATTCAAACATAATAATGTTATTTAAAGTTGTTATTTAACGTTGTGCAATACAAACCAAACGCTACGATGTCACGAAAATAGCTATGGATTATTTATAAAACCATATTTTAGTTTTCGAGAACTCAGTTTTTGTTATTGTTATCATTTTTTATCATCGTTACGTGGTACATTTTTGATAATATTGTTATTTCTATCTGAGGGAATGTCAAGATAAGAACAGAGATAAGAGCTGCGATAAGACAATAACATTTAGTGATTTTTTTTTACCCATTTCATGTATTTTTCGAATTATGAACTTATTAGTGATCAAAAGTACTGTAGAAATATACACGTTAATATACTGCTTATAATGATATGTAACCAAGAATTCGACGCTGCTGGTATATCACTTAGAACGAGTAATAATGATTAATAAACATTTCTGTTATTATTTTTAATTTTATTATTGTCTATTAGCAGTCATCTGGTAAAAATGATTATGTCGCTGTGATGGTCTACATAATGTTACTTTATTATTTGCAATAACGTTTGCTTGTAACATTTCATTAATTTAAATATTAAAAAATTCAAATATCAATCAATGAAAACCATGGGTCACAGAACATGTAGTTGGAACGCATTGGTGTTCTTTACCACATTTTTATTATTCAGATGTTCAATGTGTTCTGATCTTAAAAACCATCTTTCTGATGAAGGCGAATCATTTGTCAGTCACTCTGTATTTGATACATTACCCAGGTGAGATATTAATGTCATTGAAGCATCTCAATGGTTATTGAAATTATTAATGTTTAATAGGTTCCTATGTATAGATCAGGGAGAAGGACTGGTGGCCCGCTTATTTTTTTTCTCTGACCCATGCTACATTTTCATATCCCTTTATAACATTTTAGTCTTTATCAGTATTTCATTTGAACACATTGATTGTAAAATATAGATATTACATTTTTCTCTAGTATTGAACTCCAGCTAAATTATAAAATGTCTTGATATAATATATATTCATATTGGCATTACTAATATAGTGATAGATATTAGGCATTTATTTTATTGTATTGATTCAGTCATAAAATAAATACGAATTGTCAATTTTAATGACCTTTTAATCAAATTTGCTTTCTTTTCTATAACCTGCCAGATTTTTAGGTTTTAAAAATTGACCCTTTAGTTACTTTGAGTTGCCCATCCCTGGTATAGATAAACAAATTAAAAGGTTTATGTGTTTCTGAATGAAGGTATTCAATTATTAATTACTTGAATTTCATATACTTAACACCAAATAGTCTAGTACAATTACTTATTTTTATTAATATTACATACAAATTTAATTGTAATATCTCAATTATAGACTTACAACTTAATAGTATACAACTATTAAATAAAGACTTCTTTATCTGATAGCTTTTCATTTTTTATTAATCATATTACAATTACAATACATGGTTGCATAAAACAAGTAACATTTTTTAATTTCGTTTAATATTGTACTGAATTATTTTTCATATTATCAATAAATATTATAATATTAAGATAATGGCTTATTTTCATTTTCCAAAAATGATTAGTTACTACAGAATTCTATTTTTTATATAAAACTGAATTTAATTATTTTAATGATTAAAATTTTATTTTCTATTTATTTTGCATAGTACATTTTTAAAAATGTTTATTTAATTAATATTTAAAGGAAAAGCATTATTTTATCATAATTATAAACATTTTCCATACAACTCAATTGAAAAAAAAAATCGTGTGTTGTTTTTTTTTTTCTTTAATAACTTGGCATATTTTTATACACAAATTTAACTTTTTAATTATAATTACTTTAATTTTTCATGTTAACATATACTTTATTTCGTTTAGATTTGTTTTATATGATGTAAACAAACCTGAAGGATTTAATTTACGTCGTGATGTATTTATTCGAATGGCTTCTTTTATACATTATTTAAATAAAAAGTCTAAGTACCAATGGATTTTGGTAAATATATTTTTATTTTTACTTGCTTGCTATGACATCCATTTTTAATTAATTTTTTTTTTTTTTTTTGTATTTTTACCCTAGGTATTACCACCATGGCATCGTTTGTATCATTGGAGATCAACTAATATTATGCAAGACCATCTTCCATGGAGCCTGTTCTTTAACGTTGAATCAATTAAAAAAACCACTCCAGTCGTAGAATTGCACGAGTTCTTTCAGAGTATGTTAAATTAATAGATTATCATTTTCTTATTATAATTTTAATACAAATGTTTAATGCAATAGTAAACAAATTAAGGTCATTAGATGCACATGTTACATTACAACATTTTAATTCATTTGAAGAAAATCCAGAATATTTTGATAAATGGGAAATAACCAATTGCAAAGGACATGTTCAATCAGAATTTTGGAATCTAAAAAACTTAACATATACCCTATCATTGTGCATTTCATTCCAAGGTAGTTCCACTCTCTTGGCTGAAATTATTGAAGAATTACAACCAAGGTGATTGACTCAATATTTATTAAACTATAATATTTTGTTTATGTAATTCTGATGATTAATTAAAATTTGTATTTTGTTTGTATAGAACTATAATATTTGACCATGCTGAGTTGGCATTACACAACTTTTATAGTGGAAAAGAGTATTGGGCAATAAGGAAAAGTATGCAATTTAGTAATAATTTACATGAAGTTGCTAAAGGGTTTAAGAAAAAATACTTAAAACAAGATTATATGTGTGCACATTTACGTCGCAGAGATTTTGTTTATGGTCATCCTAATAATGTACCCAGTATAAAAGAAACAGCTACCCAAATTAAAGATAAATTGAATTTGTTGAACAACATTGATACTGTTTATATAGCTACTGATTCTTCTAAAGAAGGTAAATAACTTTATTTGAGTATTTATTTAATAATTAACCAATATTTATATAATAAACCTTATTAATTATAATTAATTTTTTTAGAATTTTTAGAACTTTGTGAATATTTACAAGATTATAAAGTATTCAAATTTATAGCAGATGAGGAAACTTTGAATAGATATTTGGATGGTGGGATTGCAATAATTGATCAAATAATATGTTCTCAAGCAATGTGAGTTTTTAATTATCTTAAGCTAGTATAAAAATCTTAAATCTTGTTATTTTCAGATATTTTATTGGTACATCCCATTCAACATTTTCATTTCGAATTCAAGAAGAAAGAGAAATTCTTGGTTTTCCTGTAGAAACTACATTCAATTGTTTTTGTGGAGATAATAACAAAGAGTGTACACAACCTACAAAATGGAGACTTGTTGAATAATGATGGTTAAAAATTGTCTTAGAATAAGACAAGCTATTATCATTTGATGTCTACAAAGGTGAGTGGGAATTCTCAAATAATATTTTCATTATATATTGTCATATTTTATTTTAATTTCTAGCGTTATCAAAATTTCATGTATATTTTTCTGTTGATGAAAAACACAATGTCCAACAAATGCTCGACATTCTTGTTGTCCACTAGATTTGGTTGCATGGTTTGCAAATTGTGTGCCTTAAAACGGCAGATGTGATAACTACTATGGGTACACTTTTGTAAGTTCTACAGTAATATTGGTTATCATAGAAGATGTCAAAAATGATCCGATTTGGCTTCCAAAATCCATTCTTAATTTGCAAAAAAATTGTATAGAATATCATCTAGACCAGTGATGTCCAACATTTTTTTCTCGGTGAACTACTTTCGTAAACAATTGTCTTAGATCGGACCACCAAATATAAAAGTACAAATAATATCAATATTAATCTAATAATGTTATTTTGTTACACATAGTAGTACAATGTATATGTAGGTACATGTTGAATTGATTTTCAAATATTTTATTGACTACTGAAAAAATAACAGATTGAGGTACATGTTGTTGGTACACATTAATTTGATCAGTATGCTCTTTCAAGTACACGGGTTATATCATAAAATTTTTATTTGAAAATGCTCAAAAATCGAATGATTACATTTAAAAAAAAATGTATTTTATAATTATTTTTTAAATTTTTTTTATATTCTGTTTCATTTAAAAAAATTGTAATGGGCCTCATTAATCACCTTTGAGGGCCCCATGTGGTCCGTGGGCCATGGGTTGGGTATCATTGATCTAGACCAGTGGTTCTCAACCAGTGTGCCGCGAGATCGACTAAGTGTGCCGTGAAAAATGTCAGATATTTAAAAATACCCATTGATGAAACTATGACAGTAAAATGTCAATTAATTGTGCAGATAAGACGATACATATGTAAGTAAACTGTACGGTTTTAACCCAACTGGATATCTTAGCGCTTAGCCAAAGTTATTGTTGTTGTCAAATGCATGAGTGAGCTGCGAAAACTTGTGATGTATAATAGTGTACCGTGAACAAAAAATGGTTGAGAACTACTGATCTAGACACTTATTTTTAACAATGGCTGTTATATTATATTAAATAATATTTCTAATTTATATGTAGGTGTATATTTGGAAACCTTTATAGGGAAAATTTGCATTCTATGTATACAAGTAATGATTCAAAGTTAATTTAGTTACATAAATATTTGGCTTGTTGTATACTGTTCAATTTTATTGATTATATTAATAATTAATTGTTAATTTCAACAAAAAAATTTAAGGGTTTTCAAATTTATACACTAATATAATTGTTGGAATTTACTGACTGACTTAATATTGATCATAGTATTACAATTTTTCCATTTTTTTAAATTTTTGAGGTGTAATATATAAATAAGGTAGTCAATTAAATCAGGATAATGTATAGTCTTTCCCTGAGCCTCCACACGAGTTTTTCTCAGTGAGGCCCAGTAATCATTTGATATTAATTTAAATAAAATAGTCTCTTCTGAATACATTTAGTATACTTTATACCGGAGCGTAGAAAACTGTTTTTGAGTTAAATGGCCAAAGTTTTCTATTTGATTGTCAAAATAAATCGTGTAACATAAAATTATCATTTTGATTTGTTAAAAAAAAGAAAAACATTAAATTATTATTTTATTGAAACATCACAATATATATTTTTGTATTTATATTATATACATTCAAATTTTCATAATGTAAATTACAGTTAAATTTTTATTTAATTGTATAATTTATAAAAAATATATGAAATAAATAAATTGAATCAATATCAATATCTAGACTAATTAAAATATTATACAGTTATGAATAATTATAATAATAAATAAATAATATTAATGATAGTACGTTAGTAAAAGTACATAATGATGTGTGGTGTATGCCTGTTTCATACATCATTACATTTTTATCTAAAATTATTATTACGAATGTGAACTCTATAAATAAATAACTGTAGTTTAATATTTATTATTTAATAATAATATAAAATTAATTTGTTAAAGAGACATTTTTAAATAACATTTTTTTAATGTAAAATCAATTTAAAAATATAAAAGTTTGTTAAATAGGAGTTTATTAAATAAAGGTTCAATGTAACTTCTTTGAAGTTAGTATTCTGAAGGATAATTTTGAATTATTTGTACTAAATTCTTAACATGTATCACCTAACAATTAAAAATTTTAAAGATACAACTACATATATTTAATTAGATTTGAAAATTTCTTTTATAAATATATAAATCTCCTAAGGAATTAGTTATTGTACAAAAAATAATATTTATGCTTGAGCATTGGTATGAAAACAACTTGTTCCTAGAATAGTATTGTATTTATTTTTGAATGTGTTATAATTTGTTATTTTTTGTAAATCTTATTGGTATCTATGTACTCTTATTTGCTACTATTTATTGTAGGGAATAACTTTTTGTTTTTATTAGTATGAATAATCTATTTAAAGATTAAGCAATACTATTGATAGCAAAATGTATAGTTTGACTAACCATAATATTCAACATAATTGATCATAACAACAACTTTTCATTTCAAATAATAAATATATTATTAATTATTATGATTGTAGTCGAATAAAACAATTAGCAAATAACTCTTACTATTTTTGCTCAATTTAATATATTCTAAGACTTAATTATAAATTTAAGAATAAAATATAATAATTAACCAAAGTGATAATATAAGTTTGAAAAATATTTTTGTAATTTAATGTTTATGGATGATTTAGCGCATGATTTAAATCAAATTCTATTTTTATTAATGCTAATAACACAATATATGATGCAAACATTGAATTTTTTATTGCTATTATTTGATTTTTATGATTTTGTATGAAATATATTGTTATTAGTAATATTTAATTATTTGTTGTTATTATTATTTTTGTTTTTAAAATAATTCCTTTGAAAACAATTTCACCCATAACATTCAGACATTTAATTGATTTTTAATGAAAACAATACTTACCTTGAACATTTTTGATTAATTATAATCAAGGTTCGTATATTCAGCATTTGCATATCAATCTTAGAAAGTTGTATTTAATGCTAGATGACATAGAAATCCATTTCAAGGTACAACGGTTAAATATGTGAAATTTTATTTTGCATGTTATTACATATTTGACATGTTTTTAAATATATAGAATATTTATGCATATTTTAATTTCATCAGGCATATTATACATCATTCTATTATGATCTATCAAAACATTAAATGGAAAATATATGTAAAATTAAAAATAGAAATTGTATTATCCGTTCTTATCTTCTTGATATTCGTACATTTAATGAATAAATTTGTTTCAAAAATTTCAGATTTAAAATGAATTACTGACAAAGAAGTACATTAAACACAGTTCATAAAAGCTCAAGAATAGTATTATATAGTGTTTAAAATCTATTTATTTTTTTAATTGACATAAAAAAATAAAATATAGCTATAAAAAAAATTAATGGATAGTTCATGTTATTTCAAAAATTATTTATGATTTTTTTAAGTAAGCATTTTTTAAGTGCATAATTATAGATATTTAATGCATACAAATGCAATTTTGTAACTTTTTAAGGCATATTACAAAGCACATTTTACCAAATTTAAGTGCATTAATACATGCTTAATTGGGCATTTTTTAGGGCACGAACTTACGAGCCCTGATTATGATTCTACTTTTATTATTATTTTTTTTTTTTAAACGGCCTATTTAAACACCTTGAATGTTTATTTTATCCTAATTGAAAATGAAAAAAATGTGTACATGGTTACAGTAATATTTTAAAAAAAAAAAATTCATAAAAACAACATGTTAACCTACCATAAGATTTATTTTAATCAATGAAATGATAGCGATTCCTAAACTTTTGCAGCCACCGAGCCTTTTTTTAAACAATATTTTCTGTTGGAGCCTCTTGAAATATTTAGTATCAAGTTGTAGTTTTCCGTGTTCTACGAAGTGTATTACACATGATATGGGTATAGGAGTAAACACAAAGATAGATAATGTACATTAAATATTATAATTTTTTTACGATGGATCACAGTTTGAGAACCACCGCTTTATACTGATAAGTTATTATAAATGGATCTGTTTTTTATTTTAATACTTATATTCAATTTTATTCAAATTTATATGACTATAAAATATATTTAAATTGAATAAATTTGTTTATTCAATTGACAAAAACTAGCTATGAAATTGATTTTGTAAAAACAGTTTTTTTTGTAATTTACTGAGTTTGTAGTGGTATACTTTTTAGTTTAAAAATAGTATAGAAATGTAATCGATTCTTCCATTTTCAATGTTGTTATATACCACAAGCATTTATAATATAATGCATATAAAGATCAGCAGTGAAATCTGACGTTTAGGTACGGAATCGGTCTGACACACGTAGAGCATAATAAAACTGCTGTAAGTAACATGTACTTTACGTAGATGGTTTACATTACACTTTAAGACAAATTGACTTATCCCTAAAATTATCTAGAACAATTATACTACTAGAGCCTGAGTTTTTTTAAAGAAGCTCTTTAAATTTTAAATTTTTAAAAAGATATACTCATAAAAAAATTGAATGATTATATAATTAAGATATTTAACTACAAGTTAGTATCTAAAATAATAATATATTTTTTTTTATAATGTTACGTGATTTTAGTACTACTACTCTGAACATTTTAAAATGCTTTAAAGTTCTAAAGTGCAGCTGGCTGTGCATCGAGGATTACATTTTCTTTGAACACTGTTTCACCAGCAACGAAGATACTGAATATGTAGTCTGCATGATCTAAACACGTTAAAGAACATTGGATATTAATATTTAAAAGCAAATATAAACAACATGATTTTTAAATCTGCTATCAATCACTTTGTTACGAAATTCGTTGAATCGTTGAATACAAGTACATTTAATTGTTAACATGGATGTAACAAATTTACAAAATGTAGCATATTTATAATCTAATATACCAAGTCAAAAATACACACATAGTACATATACCCAGGCCGGGTTAGATGACAGGACGAAATTTAACATTTCTATGGCATAGATAATTGAAAAAAAGAAAAGATTAAAATTCGTAATATCATATTTCATATCAAATTATGTGTAGTAAAAAATAAGACTTTAAATTGTTTTGTTTTATTTAAAATATTAGTGGTTTACTTACCTACATATGTATTAATCTATTCAATTTTTAACTTTACAAAAATAAATATAATGAACTTAAAATTAAATCTATTTTAGTGTGGTTTTTGTAAAAAAAAATTCATGTTGATGATCTATAAATAGCTTGACACCATAACCGAGACGTAGTGAACTTGGTCAAGCCTCGGGACTTTTTTAAAGCCCGGGTCCTGTGCAGCAACCCCAGCTGCTCCCCCCTCTCGTAGTGTCTGAGCCTATACATAGAAATAAATAGTCAGCCTGGAGTATTATTATATTTGTTGGGTGCGACTGGTTTCGAATTAAAAATTTATCTTCAGTTATATACAAAGTCAATGAAATCGCGACTCACAAGTTACTTAAAATAGTCACATAAAAAAAATTGAGGTTGAGAACTTTATATTTTAGGAAATATACAACATTTACATTTTAGAGGAGATTTAGTCTCTCTAACCTCTTCTATTTATGAATACGCTTTTCTTATTTCTTAAAACTCTCTGGTAGGGCCCACATCACAGATTGAGCCTGAGGCCTATCAATTCTAAACGTGGCCCTACATTGATTGCCAGAGGTAAAATAGTTAGATTTAATGGGGGGGGGGGGGGAATATCTTTAATCATCCTATCCTTGGCTACCGCCCTGAGTATGTGACACATTATTGAAAAAAATTATACGTACTGATGTAAACAGTTCAAAATTTACTATTTGTTTCTTCGTTATTTGTAGTTTTAGCTTTTCAGCATTATTCAAGCGCATAGCCAAAAGAAGAATCTTTTTACATTTAATGCTCGATTCAGTCCAACCGCTACTATACAACGCAAAATTCAGAGACTCTTTCTGAAATAAAATCATGCGTTAGCACTGTTAACCTCATACGAACTACGACAGTGAATTTTAGTTGAACGAGTTGGTGAAAGATTAATAAGTTACATTTAAATGGACGAACGTGATTTTATTCGAAATTTATAATTTTGACATTTTTGAAACTATGTGCATCGTAATGACATTGAAAGAGTGACATTAAATGTGAGTACTTTTTTTCACAACGAACTTGTTCATTTATATCCTCGAATAAGTAACATATAAAAAAAATATGACTTGAGTACGTTACTATTGCCATTAACAACCTTATGTTCATAGGTGAAGTCAGTGATAGTCCGTTAAAATAATTCTGAAATACAACGACATATTAACGACCTGCTCGTATAAAATTACGGGATTTTAATTGAAACAATCTAACCATTATTGTGATGCTGCACAATAATATAGTTGTTAGTGAGTTGAGAGCTATTTGTAATAGCATCACTGATCGAAGTATTCGGTAGATATTTTTCATATTTCTGGAATAATTGAATACGAGTAATTACACATAAATGCTTGATGGCACGTTTTGCTTACATATTTATTAGATTAAATTGGACTTTTATTGATTTTTAGTGAAAATTGGTTCTGCAAGAGTATAATTTTTTTTTTAGCTATAAGAATTATTTATATATAGTTTTTGTTAGATATCTATTACTGGTATAAGTGTTCTTATTTATTCATGGATACGATACATCTTCATCACATAACAATTTTAAAATATAAGGAAAATCAAAATTGACTTATGTAATTAGGAGTAAAATAAATGATCAAAAGTTCCCGAAAACATTTAAATTACATATATTAATTATACCTTATTGTTGATTTATATAATATATTACCATCTAAAACTATTGTACTCAAAATGATTTTTAATCATCCATTCAGTATAATGTATCATTTTAAATTTAAAATATAATTATAAGTGCAGCCACAATCGATTAACTAATTTCACAACACCACAGACACGCCTGCGCATATTGTAGTTATTACGTATAACCATTGATTAAATATACAATATTATTTAATCATTATTTAGTATATTTAATCAATGGTATAACGCACGAAGATACAGTATAATGATTTATACTTACTCGACAACTTTTTGTTGATCCTGAACTAATACTTTGAAATTGACAATAAATGTCGATTCCTTGCATTCGATTAGTTTTGTTGCATTATCCGAATCGAAATGGTAATCTATAAAAACGTCTGAAGTTTTATTCGCACTTACATAGATAAATATTTCACTCAAGAGAGGGATGGTGGTTTCTACTCAAAAAATATCGATGGTAGAGTTTAATTTTTTAACGAAGTTTTCATACGGGTTGGTAGCCAAATTTGGCTCAATATGAAGCGGCCTCCACCTAAATTATCAAAGGATTTAGGGCCAAGGCCTCAATGTAGGGTTTGGCGCCACTTTGTGTGTGTGTGTGTGTGTCTGAGTTGAGATTTAAAACATGTTGTAATAATTTAATTGAATCAAATGTGGTTTTGTTTAAATAGTTAAAACCATATAATTTAAACAATGAAAAAAAAACGTTATTTTAAACAGAAAAAAACATAATTTTTGGCATATCATTTACGATCTACATGTTTTATTATATTTATTGCAATAGTTAATTTATTATTCAGTTTGTTTATCATATGATCTAAGGTGTTTACGGTTAAACGGCTGTAGATAGTGTAACCACAAAATATAATATATATTTATATCATACTATCTTTATAGATCATTATAGCATGGTATATAAATGTTTTTCAACTACGAAATACTTCAATATTTTAATTTAGTTGATATTATTTATTATTATACATAATAATAATTTAAAATTATAATTATTCGCCGTAGACAAATAGCTAATTGCTACTTTATTTAAAATTTTATTTAATAATTTAATTATAATCCTTTAAGTTATATTATATTATAAATAAACCTATACCAAGGATTTTATTTCGTTTAAAATGTGTTTTGAACATGTTTAAAATTGTTAAAAAAATAATTTGAATGTTTTAAACGATTAAAACTGTTTTTTTTATATAATTTTTTTATAAAAAAAACATATTTTTCATCAACTCTGGTATGTATGCATGATTACAAACAAATAGGTACGATGTACTTCGTACATTGGTACGTATAATGTTTGTATGAACACAATTAAATCAGTTCAATGTGGTGTTGGACTTACTTGTCGAGTGATTGTCGGTGATATTTAACATGCTGAACGAATTCGCAATCATTTTCAACTGAAACGCAATCGTTATGCACATAGAAGTTCCAAGTACATCGAAGATCATTCTGATGTGACCCCAACACATAAGTATTATCGACTCAACGCAGTAGTAAGCAATGAAATGCTCGTTGTAGAACTTATCGGTTACGGGGTACAAACAGTTCAACGCGCTAAAACGGTAACGGTAAACCACGTTCTCGACGTTGACTTCTATATAATAGTTTTTGACCATGTACGGCACCAATATCCAAGATACGACTAGCGTCACCCACAGTAGCATGATGAGTACGGAATACGATTTGGATTTTGACTGACCCGCTTCGAATATTCGTCGGCTGTGATATTTGTAGGCTAAATGGCTAGTGGACGTTAACCGTATGCAGTTCCATATCTCGTTGGACTTTTTCAGCACATAGTACAGCTGAATAGTAGCAATCACGTCTGATTGGAGATACATGCAATACTTCGTCACCTCGTTGATGTTATCCCAGCAAAAATATATGTTCGAAATGAATTCGAATGCTGATATTTGAATTATAAATAATTGGATGATGGTCAAGTATTTAAAAATATTGATCCCCAATATTTTTGGACTGTTTGGACTTAAAATTTGATACAATCCGATCATTTTCATCAGTCGCATATTAATCATAAGATTTTTATCGTTTTCCGATTTCATTTCCGTTGCTTGGAATTCCGGCTGCTAGTGGTATTTGATATTCAATTAACAATTTTGATGTTTAGAAATTTTCAGAAAACTACGAGTATTCTTCTCCGGAATATGAAAAAAGATACATTCATTTTTTTATTCTACTATCTAAAACAACAAATAAAATACTTCTACAATATTTTTGATGACTATTTTGATACAAATTATTACAATTATATATTGTATTCATTGTAATATAAAAAAATATATGGTTGAGTGGTTATTTGTATTTTTGTAAATCTAATTTTAGTTTTAACTTTATGTCAGTATCTTCCATTTAAAAATATTATAACATATAGAACTACATACATTTTTAATTTTATATTAATTTTAATAGAATTATAGAGTTATAGTTATTTATATCTTTGCTAGATGCTTAGCATAAGTACAGAAAATAGATAATTCAAATATATATATAATGTATAATTTGTGGGTACTTTTGTTTTTTTTTAATATACAAAAAATAAATTAAAAAAAAATAATTTAAAAACATTTTCAAACATAAATTAATTTGAAAACCTTTATTTTATAATAATTTATAATTACCAGTGTTTAATATAAAAAAAATCCTAACCTGATATGAATCATTTTTTTCAAGTATTTGTATTCTTAAAATTGAAAATTATAATGTGTTAAGAGTTAACTTACCGAAAAATTACGGGAATACCATAATTTTATGTAGGCTTTCAATAAACAGTTATCTAAAACCGGCCAATCGTCAATTTTTTATTATTATTAACAATACACATATACTCGTACACATGCATAAAATATCTGTACCATGGAAATTTGTTTGCTATAACATTGAAGTGCCGTTTTATTAAAACAAATAAATGTCAGATATTGTAGAACTGTATACTTTATTCCAAGTTATTTTCAAATAAAATTGGTTTTTAAAATTTTACAATGCTTAAATGATTCCTATGATATTTAATTCATTAAATCACGTAGTTATTAGAATTTATTATTCATATTATTTCTCATAATAATTTAAATGCGCATTATTACGAGTTTGTCATTTGTAGTAGCCAATGACAGTAATTAATTATTTATACACGAAGTTTTCTGTGTAATCAAAAGTTGTGTGATACTTTAATACTGGTTTCTAATGGACAATGTTAAATACATGGTCAATCTAAGAGGTGGGTTTTTCTTTTTTGTTTTAAAAATTATATTTAAATAAAAACTTCCTAATTTGATTTTATACATAAATAAACAATATTGTGTAAACTTTCAGTATATCTAGTTCATTACGAATCTATAAAAAAATTCTGACTTTGTAATAAAAGATTTTTTTTTCATTCTGCTATATAATTAAAAATATATATTAAAACAGTAGGTAATATTAATATTTGTTATAATTTAAAAATGATATTCGACTATTTCATTATACCCAGTTTCGCCTTTACCTTATGGGCATGAGAGGCACAAGCCCAGGACCCCAGATGGGGCATCCGAATAATAGAAATTACAACTTTAAATTGTATGCTGTTACATATTAATACGACTATCTACAAACAAAAATAATAATTGAAAATTTTGCACATTAGATATCTTGAAAAAAAAAAGCTGCTTACTACGTAAATAATAAGTTTGATTATTGAAAGTTGTAACAGTTATATACCATTTATAATTCTGTAAATGTATCATAAAGTTTAATAACAAATAAAGTCATTATATAAAATAAGCTTTTGATATTTTTATTCAACTTGTTTTTTGCCTACTAAAAGGGCCCATAAACTCCGGATGCCCGTGGGTTCCTGCAAAGCCTAAGACGGCCCAGATTATACCCTTTTATTTACATAAAAAATATTTTCTGAAATTCATATTTAACTATTAAACATAGCGCATAACGGACTTAATGATAAGTCTACAAATCCACGGTGTTTTAGAATTATAAAAAGTCGCTAGTTAATTATGAATAAATTAGTTATTTAATAATAAATAATCAAAAACATCGATGACTACTCACATTCATGAAAAATTTATTTATTAGGAAATAGGATTTTTATTGAAATATTCGTAGTATTTTACTTATTATCTACCGGAAATTGAAAGTTAATTGTAACTCTACCAAATGAATACAATGAGTTACAACATAAAAATTAATTCATTATTATTATTGGTAATTCTACATTTTAAATTTAAAATTTTTTTTCTTATTAATCATTATTATTATAGTTTTATTTCTCTCGTATTCACTTATGTTTAATTGTATCATGCGTACAGATTTTATAATTGTCTTAGTAATAAACAAAAAAAAAATTATTTAGCTAACGCTACGTCTAAAAAACGATTCGGAGTATTAATGAAAATAAAAATACCGAAAATACATTAGTTCTTTTGAGAATTAATATTGTAAATATAACGGCATAAAATCGAGTTAAAAACCCAATATTTTCGGTATAAAAGGTAGTTTTCTACCATAGACATGATAACCGGTGTGCAAAATCCTATAGCATAGTAGTCGCATAGTTGTCACACTGATGGTTGAGAAGTTACGAATAAGTATCTGTTGACTTCTCAGACATGTGTTATGGACGCCGTCAGGTTGAACGAAGTTACTGTATGCGATATCAACATGTGATTACTATGAGTAGTCAATAATGTCATATTGAAAGGTTAATAATGTTAGTACATTAAGATTAACGGAACTTCTCATTTTCTGCGCATAGACTTCGCAATGATTATTGTCCAAAAAAATAAAAAAAATAAAAACGGTAAGTTTACTTAAAGGCTCGCCAAGATATGAACTGTTCATCCCAACCTACCTATTCCTAGACCTAAACTACTAGGACACCCTATCGAGACATTTGATAATAAATAAGTTAGTATAATAAAAGTAAAAGCAAACATTTTATATGTAACATTATACAATAATGCGTTTATAAATAAAGCGGTGATGGTTTTTTGTATCGAAACTGGTTGTAAATATACTTGTATTTGCAAAATATTTTTATTTTTATGGTATATTATAATATATAAATATAATTATTAAATATAATAATTTTCAATAAATTATTTAGGTATATAATTTATTATATTCATATTTAATGATAGATACTTTACTACTTTATTGTCGTTAAATAATTTATATTAGATATTTCAAATAAAATAAAAATATGCAACGTAGTAATGTATATATTATATTTATAGTCGTAGTTATTCAAACATAAAACGTAAAATGAACAAATAAATTGACCACAAAATAAAATAATAAATTATAAACCATAACCAAGTCATAAGTATACAGTTCGACAGCGACTGCCGGGATGACGAAAATATACAATATTTGATAACAACATAATTATATATATATATAACAATATCAATATATTCGAAAAGATGGCAATTAGAATGATACAACTTGATATGATATTGTGGGTAAAACCCTTCGTGATAATTATTATATTATTATCAATTTCGTTGCAATCAAGTGGAGCAATAAAGCACCCCATTCTTTTGGATTCTCTCCCAGAGTGTCCAATGCATTCATGTGCCCACTTACTTGATCTATAAATTTTCTTAACTGCGTAGCTTCTTCATCGACCGGCGGCAAATCGAAAAACTCTTTTGTATGGGACTGAACTAATACTTTTTTATTATTATACCTATTTACTATGTTTTGCCACGCAACAATATAATTTTCGGCTGTTGTTCCATTTACATAATAACTTGCGCCGCCTCGTCGCGCAAATGAAAAAATTTTTGAATATCATTAAATTTTGGATTAATGTGTATCATTGCGGTATATATGTCCTGGAACGTCGACCATTCCTCATATGCACCCGCGAATTTAGGCACTTCGATAGGGGCTAATTGCATTGAGGCCGCCGCCCCGCAACAAGAATTTGAGCAATCGTTCGTGGCGTGTGACGTTGATACCGAGGGCGTAGAATTTCCTTCTGTCGCATCACCTTTTACCCTCACACTTTGTATTAAACCTTCCGCTATTGCCATGGAGCTAAAATATGCTTCTTCAAATTCGATGTGGTACTCTTCAGTTTCGTTGGTATTTAGTTCTATGGTACCTTGGTCAAATTTCGACCATAATTCCTCAATTTTTTTACTTCACACTTTAATTTCGTATTGATTTATCAAATCTATATTTACGGCAGCTACACCTCTTATAAATGTACCAAACCTGGTTACCTGTGATTTAATTTGCTCTCTACGGAACTTGAGTGCTACTAAGTCGGCCATATCAACGTATGTTTTTGTGTGTGTGTTAATATGTAACAGCTTTTATTGTCTAAAGTGGACGGGTTCGCCGATCAAGATAGCCAGCTGTGTGATAATATGTGTAATGTGTAATTATGTATAGGTACTAGGTGCTAATGTACATTGCCAACTATTGCCCGATAAAGTAAAATTATGACCTATACGACGCTATACAATACTATCTGAATATGATCGCATGGATTTAATATAATCAATATATAATATATATTATATCAAAAATATAATAACCACATAACTAATGGACAGGAATGCGAAAAAACATTAGCGGTTTTCTTAAATCAACTCATTTTAGGAAATAATTAACACCTTAAAACTGACATGACATAACAATTTTCCGCCATCCTATCCGACTTTCTATCCCTAAATTATCCTTTTTTTCTTTATTGAAAACACAAGAATGCACAAAACCACTTCGTACACTTCGTAACTGTACACACCACGTTTCTCGAATTACTTAAAAACCTTTTACTTTTATTTTAATTACGAATACGTTAATTAGGTTCTTTGAGATCCGGCTCGAACGGACCATATTGAATTAGAGAATGTGGATTGTATGAAAAAACTCAATTTTTTTTTTATATATTATATACTCGCTTTATTCTTAATAACTTTCTGATATGGCCTATTGCCTCGAGGCAGGCGGAACACACACAATGCCGACTATCATCGTGGCACTGACCGAGCACTCCGCGATAATCGACAAGCGCATATAAATATGATATATTTAGATA